GTATAAAAATATGAATAAAATTGCTTTCCTGGAATACAAGTAAAATTTTAATACTAAAATGGGTATTCCTACTACTTCATACAAAAAAAAGTTGAAAAATAAATCTTTAGCAATTATTGAATATGTATAATTACTGTTATTAAGATAATACAATCTAATTAAGTAGTAATTTCTAAAGCAGAGAGATTGCTATATTTAACTAGTTATTTATCTTAGGTAAGGGGATTTTGTTGCTTCTTACAAATGAATGCAGAAAAAATTCAAATAAAAAATTAATATTTCGATATCTTGCCTTTAAAGGAAATTTTTGTATCATGTGATTTTGATTAAGATAAATTTCAAATAAGTGCTTCTGATATATAAGGTAAGGTACGTATGAGTCAGAAACTCAAAATTTAGCTTCTTTGATAATCATTTTTGTGTTGCACAATGGATCATGACTGAAATTCAAAATATAAGATTGCATATAATAGATAAAAAATCAGTGTCTGGTTAAGATATAATTATTATAAAAAGAGTAGTTATACTTTGAATAGACACAAAAAGTATATATAATCAGTATTTAGTCAAGATATAAATTCAAAAAAAATTAGTGTCTGATAAGGTATAATTATTATAGAAAAGGATGGTAATCTTAGTGTAGTGGTTAGATTGTTATCCTCCAAATGGCAGGTCTAAGTTTCAAATCCTATCTATGATGAAATTTAAAAATTATATCTGCATTATGATAACTGTCTCCTGTTGATTAGTTGGCCTTATATGGCTGATACCCAGGTACACCAGGTTGGGTCTCTCCAACTTTGAGAGCTCAGGCATCTATGCGAAGTATAATATTACATGTACATAGAGGAATATTAACTGGTGTTGCATAAGACTTTGGTACAAACCCACAATAAGACCATTGAGCATAGAAGACTAAAGAACTGAGATGATAAAAACCTACTTGGAAATTTCTAAGTAAAGAGGTAGCATGAACTTTTGATAGTATCATTGGATCAGTTGAAGCCCATAAAACACCTTCATAGAAACCAAAGATTAAAAACCAGACGGCAAATATGTATAAAAGAGCATATAACTAATCAGGCCACTGGGTTTGTCAGAGAAAAAGAAAACAGAAGTATATCATATCAGATCATCTGAATTGGTAGTTTGGAATAAAACTAATGGTTCTGAGTTGTAGCTAGTAGGAGATGATAGAAAAGATGCTGGAAAGTTGGGTACTGAGATTCTAGTGAACTTTACAAGAGTAGAAATAGTGTAATGTAGCAGTTAAACAAGTAACCCCTATGACTACAAGTATTAGATAACTATAACATGTTGCATAAAACCAGGTCTATATATGTAAAACATAAGGTCTAGTAAGTTTTCTATCAAGGATAAAGTAGTTCTAAGGGTAACAATAAGCATTAGGAACTTGAATAGGTGGCACCTTGAGATGTTCTTGTAATACAAGAAGGACTGCATATGCAGAGAGTTTAAATAGGCAAGACTACTAGTTGGCTTGCAAATATGGCAACTAATATAGAACTTATATAATAATGTGTAAGTGAACTACTTAAATTAGGTGCCAAAAGTGCATATATGGCTAGTTATAATATCTAATGTAAGGTGAGCCCTTGGTGGCATGCTTTATTCTAATATATTTGAATAAAAACATCATATCTTCTAAGATAGGGACTTTAACTATAAAAAAAAAATAATAATAATTATTATTATAGAAAGGGTAGTTATACTTTGAATAGACACAAAAAGTATACATAATTAGTGTCTAGTCAAGATATAAATTCAAAGAAAATTAGTGTCTGGTCAAGATATAATTATTATAGAAAGAGTAGTTATACTTTGAATAGACACAAAAAGTATATATAATCAGTGTCTAGTTAAGATATAAATTCAAAGAAAATTGGTGTCTGATCAAGGTATAATTATTATAGAAAGGATAGTTATACTTTGGATAAACACAAAAAGTATACATAATTCAAAGAAAATCAGTGTCTAGTCAAGGTATAATTATTATAAAAAAAGTGGTTAAATATAAAGTATACTATTTTAATTACATAATTCAAAGAAAAATCAATGTCTACTCAAGATAAAATTATTAAGAATATATGTATTATAAAAAATTATGCTTTGAATAAATATAAAATAAATGATAATAATTTAGCACTACATGCCTCATACTTGAGTTACCAAATAGAATAACAATTTGGCACTATGTGCCTCATCTTTGAGTTACCAAATAGGATAACAATTTGGCACTATATGTCTCAAATCTGGGCCTCATCAAAAAATTAACCAAAAAGCTAGAGCACTATGTGATCAGTTTAAGCATAGCCCTCATATCAGGCTTGCAAATAATGATATGTAACTGAATACATTGTTAGCATATTTTTTTGCCCATGTAGCCTAATAGTAGAAATTGATTACAATTACTAAACTGGCATATATTATTATTATGTTGTATATAAATGATGACAAAAATTTGTTATGATTGTCATTTGAGTAATATGAAAAATAGAAATTGCATATCAAGCAACCTGTATATTTTGATAACTCTTGGATAACAAGGCTAATGCAAATTACATGTTATCTGATGAGCAGACTATAAATGTCTTATCTTTGATGAGCCAAATACAAAATGTACATTACTCAAATAATAAGACAAGTAAGTAACATTATACTTATAAATAGAAAGCATTACACTCATAAGTAAATAATATTCATAAGTAAATAATAATATATTCATAAGTAGATAGCATTATAGTATAAGTAAATAACAATTTTATAAGATTGTTATTTACTAGTGTCATCAATAGAATTTAGAACATAAGAAAAAAATTAAACATGTCTATATAGATATACTCTGAGCTAAGGCATGCTCTTTATGCTTATGAGCATGTTTTTTTTAAATTATATGATTAACACATAGTTCACAACTTTTTAAAAATCTTACAGATTGATTTAGTATCTACAGTTTTAGTTTATCTGAACTTATTGGCTAATTAAAATAACTTTCAACATCATATAACAAGGGTATGCTTTTTGAACTTGAGGCATACTTTAAGAGCATGCTCTTAGAGGCATGCCCTATTTCTCTATATTCTAAACTCTAGTTATCAGCTAAAAAGGCCCATTTTTACATATATCTCATTTTGAGATAATTTTGTTTAATCATTTGCTTTAATTTTCAAACTAATTCAAATTAATCAAATTTCATAATTTTGATTAGTTAAAAGTAATAGGTATTTATATTATTTTAATTTTTCATTATGCAAATCAACCTTTATTTATAATTAAAAAATGTCAATCATAATAAAAACTCATTTTTTTAAAAAATATAAAAATGGATTTTTTTAGTTGACAACATTCTATATTATTCTTATATGATGTTTAATAAATAATATACAGTAGGTAGCAAAAGTAATATCTGAATTTTTACTAAAATAATAAATTTTTATTTATTAAATTTCTGCCATATATACATAAAATTTTTTTATATATTTATTTAATATTTACAAGCATGACCCTTTGCACTTGCTATTGCTTTGATTCTTCACTGTATTAACTCTACAACAATCCAAAGAATCGACATATTCAAATTTGATCATATTTCTTTTATGACTATTTTAAGCTCATCCACATCTCTTGGAAAGTTCTTCTGATTTTGAATATTGTCTTTTACAATCTTCCAAATGTTCTCTATTGAGTTAAGGTCAGAAGATTATAATAACTAATTTATATAATTGATTTTTTTTAATTCAAGCCATTTTGTTACCTTATATATAAAAACATTATCATACTGAAATATTAGATTCGATCTAACTAATGAATGTGTAATAGCAATAAATGATACAAGATTGTTTTCAAGAATCTTAATATATATTTTTTTGTTTAGAATCTTTATAATTACTAAAAAAAACTATAAGACCTTTGATTTTATTAACAAAGTATAATTACATCATTACTGATACCCTTCTACTTATAAAATTTGACAACAAACACTTATGTTTATATCATTTATCTGCATAACACCATACTTGAACCTAACAGAATTGTTTACCTATTTCTACACTTATTTTATTAAAAAAAATAACTTACTATCACTTATAAGAATTTTTGTTTAAATTTTGGTTATATTAAATTATGTGTTTATTTATATTGTTGTTTGACAAAAAAAGTTTCATTACAGTAACATGAAAATGAACTTCAAAACTGTGTGAAGTTCTAACTATGATCCTCTGACTGCATTGTAGATTTAAATCTTTGATAATACTGCACAGAAACTTATGCCTCTCTTTTAATGTTTTTTTTCAATATGATGGTTTTTCTTTCTTTTTTAGAACAGAAAGACATCTGAAGCAAGGTAAATTTATTATTTTTTTTATCTTCTTGTACTTATTTAGAAACCTTTGAACCATCATTGGGTCATGACCAATCTTATAAACAACTTGCTCAGCACTCATATTTTCAATATAAGCAAGTATCATACCCTTTTCTTTGTCAATCATTTGGGTGCGCAACATTTCATAAATTTTTTTTGTTTCTTTTCGTTAACTTTGTTATTTCGACGTCAAAGAAGCAAAAAAACAAAAAAAAAATGCTCCAAAATACTCAAGTTTGAGGCAAATCAAGCACTTTTATTTGCTCACGTGCATCGATGTGCAGATCGGGCGTCACTTTTGCCGCCTACTGTACATCACTTATAAACAAATGTAAAAAACTAGCCTAACTTTAGGCCCGCATTCTTTTTCAATTACCCTTAAAATTCAATAAGAACCTTCAAATGCTAGAGAAATTCAACGGACAACTTTTCTATTATTAGATAAGTCGAAGAAGCAAATTTTTACATATGAAATTTTGGTGCGTCAATCATTTGATCTTATATTTACAAACATTTTGCTTATCAGCCAATAAAAATACAGAAATAAACTGCTGTGTGACTTGAAATTTAATATTTCTTACGTGGCAAAAATATATATTTTCTTTCAACGTTAAGAAAAATGCGAGAATTAGAAAAATATCGCAAAGACCCTCATTACAAAAGATATGTTCAGCAAGTGGAAAGAATCTTACAATCCTTTGATAAAGAAGTTAATGAGTGGGCCGATTTCATATCTTTTTTAGGAAAACTTTTAAGGGTGAATAGGCTTTCGAATGATTGTGCGTAACTTTCAAGATCGGATCTAGATTCGCACAAATTTAATATCAATTAAATTTCTAGGCTTTTCAAGCGTACCCTCAATTTCCCGTAATTCCTCGAAAGCTTTTGGTTGCAAAACGACTTGCACAGTCTTTAAATCCTGGACTACCACCGGGTGTACATCAAAAAGCCTTGGAAGTTTATGATTACATTTTTAAAACTATAGGGGTATATTAATACGGTTTATTGTTCCGTAATTTGCCATTAAACTTTCGATGATAGTTGATCTGAAATTCATAAAGGGTGTATTAATGATTAGATCGAACAATTAGCAGATGACTTGCCCATTTACTCCCAGGGGCTGTTTCCATTTTTTCAATACGCTGCTATGTCAGTTAAGGTACCGTTAATTTATATATTCAGGATGCTTTCAGAAAAATTTATTGTAATGTTGCATTATATTAATAATAAGAAATTATTTCATAGCCTCAATTAATAGAACTATATGAACAATACATGTTTCCGCTAAAGGAACGACTCCGCCCGGTCATGAAAGCCTTTATCATTGCTTTGCTACCTGGACTTGAAGAGGAAGGGGGTGAATTCTTTGATAAAGTACACAATATATTGCATAAATTTATTCATATAAACAACCAATTCATTAATTCATCACTCATGAATTTAAGGTTTTGTCTCTTCTCGACTATTTATCTGGAATCGTTGAAAAGTCTTATTTTCTACAAAGTATGTGGCTTGTATTAATTACTTGCCCTGCTTTGCGAACACCAGCACTAAGTTATTTATCTCGGCGCATGCCGAAGATTTCATCAAAAGAGGGTAATTTTATTTTTTTATAGATATATTATTGTGGGTTATTTATGTTATAATTCACAGATATTATCATTCATGTGAAATAAAGATGTAGCCGTGGTTCTAGGCGACGATGTTGGAATTATGGTCCGCGCATTTTCTGCTACTCTAGGTGATAAACAGGTTTTAGTTCAACGGGCTATTCTTGAATTACTTGTGGTTAATTTTCCATTAAAAGTCGATAATTTTGGAGAGTGTGTATTTGAATGAAATGTATTATCAATTGTTCTTTCATCATTATTAACGATCAAGCATTCTTCAAAGTATCATGCAGCAAGACGACCTTGTACTATTAATGAAATCCGCCACCTCAGTGGTTCTGCGAAAAGACATGTCATTAAACAGAAGACTTTATGCATGGCTCCTAGGGCCTGACGAGCATGTAGAACAACAAATTGATCACTTTCAGGTGCATGCTAAATCTGCAGTCGTTTCCGCGTTAAAGGTATTTTCTTAGTAATCACTTCTGGTATGAGAATACATTACTTTACGTGTTGACTATTTTCTTTATTTTATTTTTGCTTTGAAAAAATATAAGAGCTCTTTTTTTATGGATGCAAACGATTTGATTGATGCCCAACGACCATATAAGATCTTGATCTCATTGATGGATAAATGGGAAATAGGACAACCGATCGTTCAAGAATTGTTTATTGATGTTTTATGGTCACTAAAAAATCATGTTGATAAATCAGAGTTCGGAATGGATGTAAGCGTAATAAATGTGATATCCATTAAATTTCCGCTTAAACTGTTCAAATATAGTAATTATCTTTATACTCTTTCAAGTTATTACAAACTGCAAATATGTTTATGGAAATGCTTGAACCTTATTTAATTTGGATGAAATTATATGGCCTTCTTGATAAATTTTCATCTAAGGACGGGCTAGATACTGCTGTTAGTAAAAATTTAAAGTTGCCTTCCTACTTCCAGTTTATTATTGTCTAATATTTTATTTCGCATATAGGCGTTAGACTTAGTCGGTTTTGTTTTGAATTCACTTAAATTACATGAAGAAGAAATCGAACAAATTCATTTGCCATTCTTTTTGATTGCTCTACTTTGTAAACTTCAAGTAATTAAATTATATGAATTAGTTTTTGTTTTCAAACCTATTTATTTATATTCATATATTTGAATTATTTGGTTCTATATGATAGAGCTTTGCGAATGATTCAAAATTTACTGCTTATATTTCACAAGTTGAACCTGCTTTAAAACTAGCATTAGATATTTTCCAAAAAATCCCGAATAGTGTCTTTAATTATCGTGTTCATAAATTGACAACAGAGAAACGGAACACTATCATTAGACCAGTATCACAGGCCGACAAAGTTGATTCTTCAAGCGAAAATACTTCGTCCGCAAAACCGTCTCAAGTGGATCTGGATTTCTCTTCCGGAATGGATCCTATAATGTATATTAATAATTTTTATTCTTGTGGAATTGAAAATATTGCGAACAAGGAATTCAGTGGAATAAGAGGGCGGCTTTTGGTTGAAGAACTATTAAAATCTATACAAGGGTTTTTGAATTGTATAATTACCAAATATGTACTTATCAAGAGTGATGATAATAAGATGGTGACTCAGAGATTATTCTCTGTAATAATAGATCGTGCTTGCGGACTTTTAAGAGCCGTTTCAATGAAACTTTATCATACTGAACGTGATACTAAAGAGTATGAATCAGTGGTATTGAAATTATTTACTGGAGAATGGGTCGATTCATTACTGAAATGCTGTTACATGGTCGAAAGCTTTGATATCATTGATTCGGCACTCTCGACCCTTCTCGATCTTATAATCGGTAGGCGACTTATCCCACCTCGCTTGTTAGACTCTAAACAACAAATTCGTGATATTGTTGATACATTATGGCGTTTTTTGGGCCCTCATTATAATGTATTGCATTTACGATCATCTCAGCTTATTTGGAAGCTTAAAGATGTATCTCACACAAATTATGTAGAAGCAGTAATATCAGAGTACTTGATACAAAAGGATACATCGGTTAGACTATCAAATTTTGAACGGTTTGGAATTTTTTGGATGCTATCTGCTGAATTTTATGACACAGATACGGCATTCTCTCAACAAATGTTTTTGGTGTTGGATTCTTTACGCGATGAAAATCCTTCAAGCCGTCGTGCAGGTGAAACTTGGATGAGGTGGAACCGCAACAATAAATCTTATATAAGAATTTTACAACCTATGGTCAAATTTTTATGTGACTCTAAGATTATTCGCAAAAATAAAGAATTGCAAATAGATGATGGAACATTTGAAGTTATTTATTATGAGAAGCCATTCAATCAGGCCCAAGTAGATTATGTTTTTGAGACATTGTCTACAATGTGTCGAGTTGGAGGGAAAGCGTTTTTAAATGCAATACGCATCTCGCCCGTTAAGGCTGAATTAATCAATTCTTGCACCTGGCTTTCTAAAGGCAGTGAGAATTCATTGAGCCCTATGACTTACAGTGAACTCTTTATTAAAATTGCATTGCTATATATAAAATCTGAAGTATTAGATACTTCTTCATCTATGAATATGTTAAATCAACATATCCATTTGCACGCTGCTGAATTTCTTCTTCATTTAGTAAAAAATTCCGAATTTATTAGTAATGAAATGGTTTATTTAGTCCACGAAACTGTCTTGCACAAGATGTTCTATTGTATCTCTGCAAAGCATCTAGATTTACAGGCAAAGCTTTTACCATTGTTGCATTCAACTATCTTAAATGTGGGTCAATCGAATGAATATTTTGCAAATGGCTCCTTCGCTTCAAATTCATCTTTGTCAAAGAAGATAACGATAGAGCCGTATTATTCAAGTTCTCCGACTGGCCATACTGGCTCTGCAACGAAAGAAGAAGTTACTAGTGATTTAAAACATTTTCGTGGGTTAACGCTTCTTTTTACCAAAGTTCTGACTATGGCATTATCGAAACTTTCAAATCGACCTCTTTTACAAGAGTGGATGGACCTTATTGAAACATCTATACCCTATTTCCGACAATCATTCGACCCTGTATTGATAGCATTGATTCAATGTATATGTGAACAATTAAAACATTGGAAAACAGAAACACAGCATCGATATGCTTTGATGATAAGCAATAGTGAACTTATTTTTCCAAACTCATCAGAATCTATTGATGAGCATGCGATGTCTGATTGGGATATCATTACATTGCTTAATGGATTTGAAGAAATAGTGAAAGATTGTTTGAATAAGCATACAATTGACGATGGTGATATTACATCACACGGAAGTAAATCCTATGATGCAGCACTTGGTCTTCCTACGTTAACTGGCTATGTAACAGGCGTATTCTCAGTTGACTCTGGGTCTAATGAGACATCGACATCAACATCAGAACAAAAGGTAGAACATATTTTTCAAATCATTAAATAAGCAAATATGCTTTATACTCATTCATTTAATTGCTATATTATAGCCCCGAGATTATATATTGTACAATGTTTTTCCAAATATTGTGACTATCATTTTGGATATATGGACCGTTTTCAAAGATGCGTCTTCTTCGAATCGACCAATAAAGGCCGGAATATGTCCATTTGATATTTCACTTGCACACACAGAGGCACGAATAAAAAATCGAATCAAGAATTTGCTAGAAGAGCTTTACAAAAAGTCACATGCAGAACTCGTTGAGGCCTTTGTCGAACTTTGGTATATTGAGAATCCTGACATAACTGCTGCTGTTTCTGAGGTAATCTTTATAAGCAATTATTTCAGGAATGTCAATTTATGAATGCACATTTTTATCCATTTCATTTAACAGGCAACATCAAAGGGATTTGATAGCACTGCTATTGAAGTGCTTAAAGTCATCCCTGGCTCTTCCGTCCCAAAAGTCATAAACACTCTTTTAATCAACGCTCGTGGTCGATCACTTGGTGTACAGGCTCCAAAAGTCAAAAAATCCGGCTCTAAAACCATTAAATTGTCAGTTGTAAACTATTTTTATTTATTCTTTTTATTCTTTAAAGGCAATGAAAATTAGTTAATTATTATTAACATTTAACTTTTACAGAACAGACATAATGATTCTACGGTTTATAGAGGCTTATTGTGATTCTTTAGGGGAGCTTGAACCGTTAACTAAAGTTTGGCCCCAATGTATATCATACGTAAAAGACCATTTTGCGCAAGCAACAACTTATAAATATTTATTTCCCAATATTTTGAGGTTAGTACATTATTCTGATTTGCAATACATAAGTGTCTTGAACTCATAAACTCAGTTTAGATTCATGCATGGGTTGGCTGACAAACTATGCTCAACTGAGTATTTTGAAGATAAGAAAGTGAGGAAAGACATGCAGGTATGATTAGAATATTCAACGCGCGCTTTTTGATTGATGTGATGTTAATATTTTTGTTATAACAAGGATGTGTATCAACGAGTTTTGGATTATTGCATTCTGATATCTGGACGATCATTTGATCAAGGGTTATGGCTTCGGCGTTCTACACCTCTTCCAGAGGGCGAGGATGAGAATACTGAAGGTATTCACTTTACATTGTTGATGTTACTTTATGGGTTTCCTGCTCAAGCTTTTATATTAATGTTTTGTATTGTTTTAGAAGCTGATGAAAACGAGACAGAAAAGAGTCGTGCTACTGTCCCTATACAAGAAGAAAAAAAAACTGCATATAAATCAAAGGAAGAAGTTTTGATTGAGCAGGTGCGATAAATAATCTTTTTACAATATGCATTTTAAAATTTCGATATTTAATTTGGTTCTCTTTAGACAAATCAATATCTTGCCGCTATTGTAATACCAAACATTAGACGATTGTTAGCCGATCATGATAAAATTGTTGCCATACTAACCAACCTCATGTACTATGTAATAGCACCTTCTCTGAAAAATCGCACCAAGTAAGGCTAATCTCTTTTCATAAAACGAAGCTAGTTTTGAATTTATCTGTTCTGACCACTATGAATATTTAGTACTGGTATCAATCCAATAGCGCTTGATCTTCTATGTGAGACTTCAAAGATATCCTTTGCATACCGAGTTTGGCGTAAAGAAGCGTGGGATGTTTTTACAGACAACAAATTTTTTAATATGGCACCTGTCGCAGCAAAAAAATGGCGCACTATAATGCAAACGATAATGACATCGGAAAAGGAAAGATTCGTCGAAGTCCTAAGTAAATTTTAATTTTATCTATTTACTATACTTGAAAATAGGTTATTTGAGTGTTCATTTATAGTTTTATTATAATTTATAATAGCTCGAATAACGACTACACCTGCCAACGCGTTGTTTGTCAATAAAGAACTAGAGTCATTAAATCGAGCACTGAATCTTAGGAGGCTTTCATTCATAATATATTGCGGAAAAATGGATCAATACTTGTCTCAGATTCCCAATATCCATGAAAAACTGGTTGAATTATTTAAATTAGGATTTACCGAATTGGTTCATTCCGAGGTATTGAGATTTTATTTTATCTTTGGGTCTTATATTGAAGCATTCACGCTAAGTCATCTATGAATATAAATAATTGTTCTATTTTATTTGTTTTTGTTTTTACAGATTTATTTATGTCTCCGAATACTGATGTGCAGACTTTCTAATCAACGTTTGTCAAGTTTTTGGCCGGTTATCCTTACCGAAATTGTTCGTATTATGTTAAAATATTTAGCCATTCTTTTTGCTACATATTTATTGCAACGAATTGCTCAGAATTCTGGTGTTTTTTTTTAAACATTAGCTTCGCCTTTGTGGAACATATCTTTATAAAGAAACCTCAACAAAAGAAAGCTCCAAGGGAGCTGTGGAAAAACCTGAAGTCGCTAACACATTTTTGGCAGCATGCAAATTTTTGGATCTGTTATTTGCGTTGCAAACCAGCAGTTTTCAACCGTATTATGATTTTCTTCAAGTCTTACACTGTCGTTGGGTTTATATTGCTTGTTAATAACTTTAAAAAAATTCCAATTCACAGATACGAGTGGATGTTTATCTCAAACACCATCAATGTGGTAAGACATTCCCTTGAATATTCACCTTATGCGCTCTTAGACAAAATATCAGATCAAATATCCGGTCATGAAGATTTAACGAAAGTATGTTGAATTTCATATTCTAATCTTGCAATGTTATTTTAATAACTTTTTTTTCATATACTAAGATGCTTTCTAAATCAATTATAAGTTACACTTAGACAATTTATCGAGTAACCAACTTATATCAGGGGCGCATGCAATTCCACCTGGAGGAAATAAACGTCCAATGCTGACATTACATAGTATAACCAGCATTAAACAATTAGAATTCTTTGTAAGAAATATTAGTTTGTATGTTTATCATTCAACTTACACGCTCGCAAAACCGGATATGCCATACATTGAAAGTTTATTAGAAAATGATTTGCTGGAGTATAGCGGTGGACTTGAAAGTGGAAATTTGGATGTGGATAGTGGAGACGTAGTTTAATAAAAATATGGAAATAGCTTAATATGTGGCAATATTATATTATTTTTTTTTAATAATTTTTTTTTAAATAATATCCTTGCGATAAAGGACCCATTCCTGATTTGCTGTTTATGAGATCAACAAATATGAGAATTTATTGTAGGATTGTCCGCTCTTTGCTAGCATACATTTCTTCCGCGTAGATATCTTGTATCTCTATCTATAGTAAATTAGCGTTTTGAAAAATTTATATAAATGTATTTTCTAGTTTAACGTACCAAAGTTATTAAATCGATAGTTTTACGACATGTATTTTTAAAATAGAAATAAGAATTTTAATTGTTTAAAGCATAATGAAAATAGAGTTTCGTTTTCAGCAATGTTATTAGTTTATTGATTAATTCAAAAGACCACAAAAAATTGTAGCTTACGTCATAATTAAAACTCAATCTTTAACTCATCCCCAATTTCCGGGTAGGGTTGTGTTACATGAATTACAATTTTACATTACATGTAATTTTACGTAAGTTACAGAAAATCAATTTTCATGTTAACTTTCACACGTCATACATAAAGTACCAGATTTACAAAATTTCGGCCAGCATTATTGCAGCGATTGATTTGAATGTACGATTTGAAATGTAAAACCTAAATCGCCGAAAATTTGATCTCAGAAACTAAATATCATGTGTTCAAAATTACAATTACATGAAATTTCAATTTACAGAATCTTACACAAACTTACGTAAAATTACGTAAAATTACTGTAATTTAACAACCCTATTTCCGGGTCGGAACACCTCTGAATCATGATCGGTAGGGCCGGAATTAACTAATTTTGCCCAAGATCACTAAAAAATTTGCGAAGATTTTGTCGATTAAAAAAAAAATTCCCGTATATATTATACATATTATATATATTGTCGGCTCTGGATACAACGAACTTAAAACGTGAAATTTCGCAATGGTTTGGTCATGAATTCATGATAAAACATAGCAATTTTTATAACAAACTTTTTTTTTATAAAAAAGTTGAGACCGTCAATTAAATAAACCAAACAGGCTTTCGCTTTCGAAATTCTAAAAACAAATATTTTTTTTGACAAATTATGTCAAGTGAATAAGTTTTTAACTTAAATGCTGCAGAACAACTCGTGTTTCTATTTCTCAAACTTAGGCATTCGTTAGAGTTGTAATAAGTGACGATCGTCCGGACCCAACCTGGTACGTACTACAGGAACTGTCGATGTTACATGACTGATCCTTCACCCGGTGTGCAACATGTAAAAAAGTTTACAATATCAGATCATTCCACTAGTACATGTTATGATTAAAATACCCCGATCACTATATCAAGATCACTGGGTATTTAGCAAAAATACCCTGACCGTATGTGTACAAGCGGAAACTTCGTTTCCGCTAATACCCAACGGATCAGGATATTTTTATTACTAATCCACTTCATTTTTATTAGAATAAAATGGTGTGGGATTATAATCATAACACGAACTAACGGAATGATCTGGTATTGTAAAATATTTTTTTTATATGTAGCACACCGGGTGAAGGAACATCGATGATTCCTCCTGTTGGTACGTACACATTTTCTAGGTGCTAAAAATTTTACTAATGAAGTCATAGTCCATTCATTATGAACTTGATTAAAAGTTCAATATTGAACCTGAAACTGAATTTTTTTTTTAAAAAAAGGTTCAAGTTCAGTTCAATTTTAAACTGAACTTGAACTTGACCTAAAGTTCAGTTCAATTTTAAACTGAGCATGAACTTAACCTAAAGTTCAGTTCAATACGATATAAATAACATATGAGCACCTGATTTCAATAAAAAAATTAGTAGATCACCTTAGTGCTTCAAGACTGATCGAGTTTGTCTGTCTTTGTCGTTTCACTTTGTTCTGTCGGGTAATTTTATAAGGAGCCGAGCTTTAAACGATCCCGAATTTGACACCACCTCGTATGTGTCCGCCACAGCCAAGACGTAGTTAAGGAGGTTTCGATCTTACATCATTTGATTTCACAGTGTAAGAAGCTTATATGGGAATCATGTGATTTCATAATTTCGTGTAACCTTACACTTAAAAAAAATTTATAATTTTGAGCGAAGATATCTCAACAACCATCCCATCCCATTAAACAAAATAATTTATTTATTTATTTGAATTCTACATATTCGTGGGATTCAAATCAAAAAATTCCATCGAATTTAGTTCGGTAGTTGTCGAGATATCTTTGTTCAAAAATTTTTTAAACCATTTAAATTAAAGCTGCGCCAAATTATTCCTAAAACTTTGAGCGAGGATATCTCGACAACCACTTGACTAAATTCGATGAAAATTTTTTTATTTAAATTTTATATATTCGTAGAATCCAAATAAAAAAGTTGTTATCGAATTTAATTAAGTGTTGTCAAGATATCCTCACTCAAAGTTTTAGAAATAATTTAGACAGCTTTATTTTGATAAGATGTTTTGGAAAGATATCTCAACAATTACAAAACCAAATTCGATGAAAATTTTTTTATTCGAATCCTACAAATATACAGAATTTTTATAAAAAAGAATTTATCTCAATTAATAGATAGTTATTTAGATATCTTCACTCAAATTTTAAGAGCAAATAAGACAATTTATTTTTTAAAAATTTTAATGAAGATATCTCAACAATCACTACTAAATTTGATGAAATTTTTTTTTATTTGAATCCACGCATATGCAGAATTCAAATAAAAAAAACTTATCTCATGTAATGGGATGGTTGTCGAGAAATCCTTGCTCAAAGTTATAAATTTTTTTATATTTACTATGAGAACGAATACTAAGTGTAAGGTTACACGAACTGATGAAAATCACATGATTCCAAAAATTTTGCTTGATGTTGTCTTTGAGATTTCAGTTTTGAGAAAAATGGAATAAAAATTTGGGTTGAATTGATTTGTTAAGCTAATGTATAATAATTGTATTTCATATATACTTTAATATGCTTTAATTAATTTGACTAAAAGGTGCCGAAGGATAGGTTTCCTGATCCATTCACTGTATGTTTTTGTTCTTATAAATAACTAATTAGTTTTCCGTTAGGATCGGTTTTTTGTGAACAAGTAATTAGAGTTATTATTTTCACGTAATTCGAGTTATTATTTTCACGTAATTCGAGTTATTATTTTCACGTAATTCAAGTTATTATTTTCTCATAATTCGAGTTATTATTTTCTCGTAATTCGAGTCATTATTTTCTCGGCGTCAGATTCTGTTTTTCCTGCAGACCTTGATCATTACAAGCGTGATAAAATCATTTGACCATTAACCAAATGGGTTATAAACAATAACGTGATATAATACGAATTCTGATTGGTTAAGTTTTTTTTTTTTGTGGTGTGTACTTGATCAATGCACTTTTAGAATGGAAAATTTTTCAATTTAAAAATTAAATAGGCGATACTTATCCCTTGCATATATTTATTTGTCATTATATCGGGAAGAAGATATATATATATATATATTAACGTGGTCGTTATAGATGAATTTCAAAAGATCTTGATAATTACATTCATGAATTACGAATCACTTGCATATTTTACTGAATATAAAGAAATTATTATCGATATTTATCTTGACAAAGTAAAAGTAGGTAGGGTACATACAAATTTTCCTTGTGTAGATATAATCGAGTTCTTGCCATTTATGATAAAGAATAAATATAAATTTAAATATTCAGGTATGGCGTTTTTGAACACGACATAGCATACGTAAAATATATAATTGGCTAACATTATTATCTCCGGCTCACATTTTTTTGTTTTTCAAACTTATATAATTCACCTTTTTTAGAGACTTTACAGTACGCATCAATCTAATGTATGATAAGTATTAATCATAAATCGAGTCAATCGAGCCAATTACTACAATGAACATCAAAATTGTTCAAAAATATGAAGCATGCAAGATCATTATCAGGAAAACCTTTTTGTATTTGAAAATATTTTCTTTCTTGGTAAAAAAAAAAAAAAAAAAAAGAGATAGGAATACATAATGATACGTACGATAGGCACATGGGGAATGAGTACAAAGTTGGTATATTCTGGATGATGACATAGATAGTCAGAACGGTTAAATGCAAAATAAGCTATCATTACGTATCAAGTGTTAAACAATTAGACCAACTTTGGTTCACAGGATTTATAAACTAGAAAATAACTTCCAATCGGAACATCAATTCAATATAAAGGTACCAAATATTATTTTTAGTATATCATAGTCGGACCAATGTTTCTTGAGGTTTACGATTTACGCTTTATTATTGAATAGATGTTAGTTACACTTGACTTTTGGCATTTAGAGTTTTGTACTTATCTGCAGAGAAAATTCCTAACCAGGATTTATTAAGTTACTCGGATTATCCAGATAGTTATTATGATTATATATTTTAGGTAGAAATTTTGATGCGGGTACAATCCCTATTGGCACTATTTCGTGTTTATTCAAATTGTTAAGATGCATATAATATTCGATAAAGTCTAAAGTATAAAGTGTTAAAGGATTAAAGTGGTCACTCAAACAATTACAAGCTTATAACCTTGTAATATGTGAATCTAATTACAACCTTTGTAATACAATAAAATATTGTAACGAGAAATGGACAAATTTCAGAGTTTTTAATAGACTAAACTTATACGAACAGACCAAACCCGTTACTATCCGATCAATGACCAACAGCATTTCATAATTTTTTTAACGATTCAGAAATGATGTTATAATCTTTGATGAATTCAAAATATAGAATGTGTAATATAGAATATAATATAGAATGTAATGTAATGTATCGGATCATTTAATTTTACACAGCGTATTAGAGTGTATTAGAGTGTATTAGAATTTCTAAGGAAGAGGTTGTACTTATGATGAGGGATATTTTCAACAAATGATTATTTGAACAAATTTTCGCATCACCGATTGTTTTTAGATTGAACGGACAGACAGACATGCATGACCAATACAAATATGCAGCTTAATAATTAATATAGATAAAAATTAGGAAAAACGAAAAAAAGAACGAAAGAAAAAATCATAGGGGACATAGCGAAAATAGAAAATAAAGGCGTTGAACCATACAATAAACATTTTTTTTTATGAATGCTAAATAGTTTAAAGAATTGTACTTGATAAAATATTACTTTATGTAAATTACCAAAAAAAATCAGGAACAATAGTGTCAGCAAAATATTTAATTGGTTCAAAATTTTTGTGCGATAATACGTATTAGTGACATAACGAACGATAATTATTGAACTAAATGTTTATCTAATGTTTATTATCGTTATTGAGGTATTATTTTTACTAGTGCTAACTCTGCACGTGTCAATACGTTACACAATTGTATTTTATTGGTCATTTAACAATAGATGATGAAAACCAATCAAATAACATTAATAAATCAATTATGGTTGAAATATAATTCGTTTCCTTTTTGACGCATTCATTCGCCACGGTTAACATCAATTAGTTTTCTTGTCTTTTGTGCATAATAGTCGAATCTTTACGAAAATAGAACTTTACATCAATGAAAGATCTTTGTTATAAGTTAAAGAAGTCCATGTGGTGATAATCCCAAACCAACCAACGATTCAAAGAAATACAAAGAATACAAGGAATAATAAGAATCTCATCAGTTAAGGAAATTTCAATTTGTTTCCTTTTTACGCATTCATTCATTCATTTTTGGTATTACTTGATCTCTTACGTGTTATTAATAACATTACGTGTTTTTTTTAATGAGTTTTTCTTTTATGTATCGATAATATTTTACTAGTACGTATTTAATACAATAACTAATACGTAATGGCAATGCGTACAATACTACAATATCAGATATTACAATACTGCGATATTAGATATTACAATACTGCAATATCAGATATTACAATACTGCAATATCAGATATTACAATACTGCAATATTAGATATTACAATACTGCAATACAGCTATACGACAATATTACAATACGGCAATATGTAGCAACCCCTATTTATCTTTTTTCCCTTACTTCTTAATTGTAAATACTATAATAATACGTAGTCCATTAGATATTTCAATATTTTTCCATTTTAATAAAACTCCTGAGTTATACTAAGATCATAAATCTAATAAATCTAATAAATCTAGATAAGTTATTATCACTAAACCAATTTAAGTTTATTTTCATCGATCGGATATGATTAGGTTAGATATGCATTACGTAATTGTATAATATTATTGTTATGGAAATGGTGCCGGGGAAAAAAATAGTTTAGTTTAGTTTATAATCTAAATATTATTATTAAATTAAAAATATTATTATTAAATTAAAAGATCATAAATAAATAATAGTAAATAATAGGGTTAATAATAAATACAAGTTAATATCATTCAAGTTAATATAATTCAAGTATAAATTTTGCACTTTTATTAAAAACCAATTAAAGTGTAACCCATTCGTACTTTTCTAATTTTGAACATAAATGCTTTCTTCTCATATAGAAATTAAAAAGCTTTAATAATCCTGAATAAACAAAGAACCTGGTTACAATTGGTAAACGATTCCCCTAATTCAAAGGTGGTAACAATGCCAGTAATCTTTTCAATAAATCTAAAATCGACATTTACATTCAAACATCTTGGTACATGGTTTCTTGCTTTGGTCTTATTGTGTATGTATTCGTGTATGTATTCTTAGCTCATATAATAATAAAAATTGTAGAACAATGTTTTTTCGTCCAAATTTGATACAAACACGTGACCTATACATACAAGTACTGTCTGTTTACTAAACATAAAAAGTTAACAAAAGAATATATATGGTTTGAACCTGAGAATCTCGTAATACGTCATCATTAAAAGTTTATTGTCGTAATACAAATTAAATAGCATTAATAATGACAAATTTCGCGGGTTAAATTTTTATACTAGTTATAATTATTGATACAGAAAAAATTATTATAAAGCAGGGATCAGTAGTTGAGCTCCTTGACTTCTGCGAATTCGAATTACTACTTGCTTTTTTCAATCATCTATTGGTTTTTTTTTCAATCTTTTTTTTTTCATTCTAGATTTCATGTCTTTTCGAAATAATCGTGAATTATATTCTTTTGTTGTTGGCATTCCAATTGATCGCTTTCTTTGCTTATTTTCTTTTGTTCTTGTTCGCGTCAATAATCATACTTTTTTATTTATTATTATGTTTATCATTATTATTATTATCAAATAAACGTTTTGTATATTAGTCAGAAAAAAAATTTCTCTATATATATTTCAACATTTTTTTTATATAAATTCCCGCTAATTTTTTGCCATTCGATTTCCCGCCACGGAACTCGTCCCGTCAAAATTTCGTAAAAATAATTATATCGGTAAAAAATTCTTTTTTTTTATCAAAAAAAAATTGATATTTTTTTTTATACCTTTTAGTTCCTCTTTTTTTTTTTTTACGATTCCCTGATCGATTCTATCTATCCGATCTATTTTATTTATTAGATCTTATTCGATTTATCCGATTGATCTTTTTTCGATTTCACGACTTTTCTCATAATGCCTAAAGTAAAGAGTAGATTAACATCTAAAGAACAAAAATGTTTGATAGATTTCGATGAAATTTCTCCTGAACGACATGACTTTGCTTTAATGTTACTTTGTTCAAGATCACTTTATCGTATTCAATTAAGATGTTTTGAACATAATGTTCTTAATAATCAAGATATTTGTGATATAGTTCAACGGGAAGTTGATAGATTACCTAAATTATTATCGGTAATTGGTGCATCATTAGAAGCCAATGGTTCTTATAATGCTAATCATCATGAAAATTTAATGATGCTAGATTTCTGTAAACAAATTACAAATTCAAATGATCCTTTAGATATAATTAGAAGTCTTTTAACAGCTGAACAAAATTCTAGATCTTTAAAAAGTTCTAGTGATAAAAAAGTTAAAAAAATGTATAGAAATCTAATTAATTTAATTGATGATTTAAAGAAATTTATGCAAAATCGTAACTCAACTGATGATTCAACAACCAATTTATCCACTTCCACTTCCACCTCCTCCTCTACTACTCGAAAACGTAACAATTTTCGGCCGGTTTATTTTATGGGAAATTATTGTGTTTGTACCGAAGGTATTCCTGGAAGTGGTGAAGAAACTTTTATTCATCCACCTACAGCTCTTCTTTGGCTTCCCGTCCTTACTAATAAGGAACGTATCACTCAACATACGACCTCGGCATTTTCTTTACGTAAGAAAACTGAATTCGCTAAAAATAATGGACCTTCTTTTAGACCTCAATTACTTCGAATGAATTTTGTTCAAACATTTGGTCGTAAACAATTACAACAATCATCTACTACGAAATCTGAGAAATTACGTCGTGTTACGAACAATTCTTCACAACAATCACAACAATCTCAAAATTCACAAAGTTCACAGCAATCACAATCGACTCAGCATCAAGATTCTCCATCGTCGTCATATTCACACATGCCTGTAACATCGATTAATGCGATTCTTAATCATAAAGCAACAAACACTAGTTTATCGTCAAACGATTCACAACCTGTATTGGTTAAACCAACACCGAAACGTGTTCCTTTTTCTATAAATACCGATATTCCAAGAATTTTATCTACTCCTCGTAATGATATGACATCTAATATGACATCTAATATGGCTTCTAATATGACACCTAATATGACACCTAATATGACATCTAATATGGTTGCTACTACGACCTCATACATGACACCAGTTCAATCACCAATTGCTTCTAATTGTAATTGCAGCCCATTAAGTGCAACACGTGATTTCAGAAAATTATGTCCTTGTATAGTTAACATGTCAACATCATCATCTTCTCAAGGATTTAATAATAGTAGTAACAATCCATTATTATCACCTCCGTTATTTACCGGTGATTTTTCTTTGAGAAATTCGCATTACAACACGTCCACACGAAATTATAGTTATGGGTATAACTCGGGAATGTCGATAAATTATGATGGATCGTCATCTTCATCTTCGCGTAAAAATTCGTTATTTTGAATTTTTTTTAAAAAAAATTCAAATCTTGATAGATTATTATTTATCTTTATTTTTCTATTTTTTTTTATTTTTTTTTGTTTTTTGTTTTTCGTGATTTCATCCTACCATTTTTAAATTTGTTTTGTCTCTCATTTTGGTGAATTAAATTATTATGGAGAACACATACCTTTCGCTATCGAGCAACCTACCTTACCCTTACTTTCTAATATACTATGACCTATTATTCATACTTACATAATAACAAACATTGACTCATACCAATCAATCGTTAACTTTATTGTTCATTGTCATTTTTGCCATTTCAGTAGGATTGTTCTCCAAAAAAACGAATTATTTTTTTTATACATTATATATTTTATATATATATATTTTTTGTCATCCAAACCATTTTAAGAGAAATTCATACAAATTTTTTAGTACCAAATGCTCTCTCTCAAATTTTAGCGTTTTTTATTTTTTATTTTTATATTTTATCTTTGTTCGATAGTTTTTTTAATTGGCATAGTTATCAACAAACGCAAATCCACGTTTTTTTTTTTCGTCGTCGTGTGATTTATATAGAGAGACGTTAGAAATAGGAGAGTGTTATTTTTTTTTATGATAATTTATTATCCCCTAAAAAAATTTTTTTTAAGTTATTCTTTTTTTTTTGTAATTATTATATGCTATATTATCATACCGATAAATAACTAAGCTTTTTTTTTAAGATTTTTCAATAAAACACGTGAAAATCAATATTATATATATTAAATTTCATATTTTAAAAAAAAAACATTCGTACTAGTACTAAAAGCAATGAATTAGAGTAGGTGAAAATTTATACTGTATAATCTCTTTAACTAATGACACTTATTTTATTTTTATTTTGACAAATTTGCAACTTGGCAAAATTATAAAAATTATACACAAAATACAAGATGTAGAAAATGTGTTTTTTTTGTTTTAAAAAAAAAAGTTCTAATACAAAAAAGAAAGTCGATTGATATTATTTGATTTAACGTATATCTATTTATGAAAAAAGATAAACAAAATTCAAAAATTAATTAATTAATATAAACATATAAACATATAAAATAAACATATAAACATATAAATATAGAAATATGTAAACTTACCATCCGAATGGTCCATCCAAAGGGTTTGAACCAAATTTGAATTTTTTAATTGAAATAATTTTCATAGCATATTCTAATAATTTTGAAGGTTTATCCAATACACTTTTCAAACGAGTAGATGGAGCTTCTTCAAAATTTAATCTTTTAAAAGAAATATTTTCTTTAGAATGTTGAATAAAAACTTCAAGATAAGGATCATCAATCATATTAAAATAATAATATAAATCCAAAATTACTAAAGTAGCAGGACATTCACGAAGAAATAAATCAAGAGTTTGAGGAGACATTTTAAAACCAATACCAAAATTAATTAAAGATTTTGGAATTGATAAAGCTAAATCATGAATTGAATTAATATCAAAAGTACAATCATCTAAAACTTTTTTTAATGTTAAAGATTCTAATTCCATTTTTGATATTATTCGACAAAATCTTGGTAATTGAGAACAAGATATTGATAAAGTTAAAGTTTTTATAAATTGACAATATCTTTCAATTATACTTAAATGTTCTAAATTTACTCTTTGTAAAGTTAAAGTTCTTAATGATCGACTTGACATACGTAAAATTGGAAATATAGTACTAGTAATCATTTTTGGTTCAGTGTAATGATGAAAATATAAATTTTTTAAAGGGATTTCTTTAAAAGATATTGAATCAGAATGATTAAATATTATAGAAGGAGTAATATATAAAGTTTTTAAATTTGAACAATTTTCCAAGAAAGGTAACATTTGAATGAAATCTTTTGCACCAAGAATCTTTAAATAAGTTAAAGATTTAGATTGAGTATTTAAAGCGGAATAAATATCATCAGCTGTTGAATGATCCCAAAATTTATATAATTCCAAAGATAATAAATTTTCTTGAGATTTGATTAAATTAACAAAAGCAGTAGCCACATTGAATTGAAGATTAGGATTTTCAGTTCCAAATATAAAAGAAATATGTTCAAGATGATGAACATAACGAGATAAAGTGTTGAAAAGATTGATTATTCCTTCAACAATGAATTTAGCATCAATATTTCTTGTAACATTGTAACATAAATCGAGCCTTGATAATTTTGATAATCTATATTGAATTCCCGAGTTTACAATCATATCAAAATAAAAGGAATGATCTTGTTCATCTCTATTCATCTTGAGAGCTCTAAAACCAATTGAACGATTAAATAACATTTGGGCAATTATTCTTTTGCAAGTACTGAAAGAAGATAAAGAGAAATCACTGGATTTAGGAGCATAATTATTCCAAATTTCATAAAACCAATTTCTAACAGCATTTTCAAAAGCGGGAATATCCAAATTATGAAGATATATTGGGTAATTGAAAGCAGGTTTTTGAAAATCAGGAATTAAAAATATATTATCGTAGAATTGTTTTTTTTCATCATCAGAGAAACAAGATACATAAGTTTCAATAATCAGGTCAGATTTATTGTTGTATCTTGTGAACTCGAATGGGCTACACCAAAGTAAAGGAATGGATAATTTACACCATAAACGGTTAACTAAGATACAAGAGTATAAAGAAGAGGTATCATATTTAAGATGACCTAAAATTTCTACGAGACAATCAGTTGGAAGATTCATAAGAATCAACTGATTCATATTTAAAAACATTATTTTTAAATTCAAGTTTATATAAATTTCATATAGAATATATAGAGTGAATGTTTAAATATAAATAATTCTTCGATGATTGTTCGATAATTTTTTTCAATAAGTTTTTAACGTTAAGGAAAAAGAATAAAAGTATTTATGAATTGTTTAAAGTTCGTTATAAAGTTATTATACTATTCTTTTTGATTAACTAAAAATTACATCTTTTTAGTAACGATTATGTAAGCTTTGTGAGCAATTTGTAATGCGAGTTGCAGACCTCGTCTTAGAACATGTATGACAAAATTTTAATAGTTCAATAATTTGGTCAAGATTAAAGTATATTGAACACTACATTAAAAACCATAACAACATACATATAATTTGAAATTTGGAATTTAATAGTTTTACGTATATGTTTATTGTCCTCCCGTAAAATCGATCAATAATTACTAAATCGTTTTTAGAATAATGTCGATATTAGCAATGATTGAATAAACTAAAAAAAGCACTAGTTTTAACAAATAATATGTATTAAGATTCAAGTACGTACGTACGTAAGGTTAGTTTTATGCATGGCGTACACTCATTTCTGCAAGAGACATTGATCAAACAAGGAAAATTGTCTTATGTAGATAAAATCAGGTACATACCTACATACCCGATACATACCAGATACCTGATACGTACATACCAAAAAAATCATGGGTACATAGTTCAAAGAAATTAACTGTTAATTGTTAATAAAAATTTTTTTCTTGCAAAAATTAAATACTTAGTATACGTATACCGATATCAGGCAATACTTTATTCTAACCCGTAATGTCATGACCTTCTTCTTTGGGTTCGTATCACTTGCAGAAACAAGTAAACCCGGTTTATGCACAGGGATAGGACGTTACACCCGACAATTTATTACAATGTTTCAATTAAATTTCATGTAAAAGGACCCCAACACAAAATTCCATAATTGGATATCGATGATAATATATAATTATTACAAAAATGGTATATTCTTTGAGCTAAGGTTATACAGAAATAGTATATTCTTTGAGCTAAGGTTCTTCAACAAGTATTCATGACGTAACATACGTATGTACGTAAGTACAAACGTAGGTTATAATATTATTGAAGGCGTCAATAACAAACATTGAAACCTCAGCTGTTGTATTTCGCCCTTTTCTTTTTGAGGTACGTGGCTTTACGTTTGTACGTACGTACGTATTACGAATGCTAGATCTACCTCTGTACTCTATCGTCATTTTCTGTTAAATATTTTACTGATCAATTTCTACATATTAAACAAAGACACTTAGGTACATATTATATTAAAACTTCCATATTAAGATATTCATATGGAAAAAAATTTTTATTATCGTTATTATTGGTCTTTTTTCTTAATGAAAAATTTTCTAGCTAGTGATAATGATGCTAATCGTTGAATTATTTTAACTGTTTGACCTTTAACCAGTTAACCGAACAAACATTCAATTAATTGGTAGAATACTTACGTATTAAGGTATACGTATTCACCGATAATTTCTTTTATATTTGAAATTTTTTTATTCTTTTGAATATATAATTATGCAAAATGTTCAAATATTTTCGCATACGTATAAATTCACTACGCACGTACATAATACGTAGTAAATATTTACTAATATAATATTTATTAAATATAATACGTATAATTTGTCGTCTACGTACGTATTAAAATTCTAATACCGATACGTATCAAAAAAAGCAAGGTGGCTTGTGTTTGCACGACTTTCATTAACCCCTGTAATTTGATATCATGTGATGTTTAGCAGTAATGTACGTAACATTAATGCCAAGAATGCTACAATTGCTAACGCTAATTGTGCTAACTCATACAGGGGAATCCCCAAAATTCCGGGTCGGAATACTTCGGAATCATGATCGGCAGGGCCGGAATTAACTAATCTTGCCCAAGATCACTAAAAATTTTACTAATGAAACCATAGCTCACTCATTAAGTAAAGCTGCCCAGCCGTAATTTTGACCCAGAAATAGTTAAGTTGTATTACTAAATGCTAACTACAGTGGCGGCCAAAGATATTGCATCACCTGAAAAAAACTTTTCAAATCCATATATCTCCCCAAAGTTGAGTTATTCTGGGATGAATTTTTTTTATTTGAATTATCAGTACCAAGA